GATAGATAGATAGATAGATAGATAGATATTAAGGTGTTTTAAACCCATGCCACACTCTTGCAATATTCTAAACAATGTTTCTAAACTCTAAATGCTCTAAAACACGTGTCAAACTCAAGGCCCGGGGGCCAAATGTGGCCCTCGTTGACATCTTATCTGGCCCCCAAGATGATATGTTAAAGTAAAATATTATTATCACTTGGATTTTTTCAGTAATCTTTGATTATGAGCAGAGAATGTCAAATGAGACCAATCAAACTCTTGCTGAGGAACCTGCAACCAAGAAAAGATGTCGGGTATTTAACTTGAGTTAATGCAGATTCTGAAATTGACCCTTAGTTTGAAAAAGGTTTTAATTTTGGCCCCTTTTTGTAAGTAAGTTTTACATCCCTGCTCTAAAAGAGCACAGCATGTCATGAACTCAGCTCTATACAGCTGCACTCTGCATTCTCGGCCACGCCCACTTTTCCGCTGCAGAACGGAGACTGATAGAAGTGGAAGGAGGAGGGAGGAGGAGCTGCAGGAGGAAGATTCTCCTGCAGTGTGGGCTGCACACAGGTGCAAATTTAAAACAATTAATTTAAAATAGAAAATCCATGCCGATCATGCAGCTCATCCATCAGTCAGCTAGTTGTGTGTTATGTCCAATCTTATTTTGAAAAACCGTGATAGAGTAAGTCCGCGATAAACGAACCGCGAGTAGCGAGGGACTACTGTATTACAATTAATTAAACAAACGTACCATGGTTTTTTTCATCTCCATCCCCAGTTTTCTTGATCTATTTATCAATTTAAATATTTACAATAACACAGGTTGTCATAAAATCTAATGAAGCCGCCACACCTACTTGACCTCATGGGTCTGTCTGCCAGTAAATGAGTGACAATGTCTTTTCTAATATTCTTGTATACAAAATAGCACAATTTTAGAAAATATCTCGATATATGAAAGCTCTGAGATATAGTCAATGTAGATAAAATTGAGTTAATGCATTTGCTGGTTTACAGCATTGCCAGATGGGATGCCCATCACTCGCCATCTAACTAACCAGTTTGTGTAAACGTAGAGGCACACGCAGCATTGGATGTTTCTCAGGACGCCCACCTCCAGTGTTTTCTGTGTGAACCCACATGCTGTCAGTGTGTTAAAACACGCCGTGGTCCGTATTCATACTGTCAGTGTGCATCAGCTCCACTGAAAAGCACCAGTCTAACACGCTTCGCTTTGCCCTACATGGAAAACCGAAGGCAAACAAAGCATCGTAACTTCACACCTCGCCCGTTTGTATCTGTGGCTTCATTGTGGAAAATGACTTTAATCCCGCAGATTGTTACAACTGATGTTCAGTGATTTAATCAGCTCCTCTGAACTCATTGATGTTGCAGCTGAGTTGAAACAAATAACATTTCTAAATGATTTATCAGTGGCTGTAAATGTGCCACCACCGACTCTGCCTTGGCACAGTGTTTGGAAGCTGTTGTCTTTGCTTTAATCAGGATTGGATCAAACCAATCTGTGAACACCTGGTTCTCCCACATAAACCCAACATGCAAAGTTTTCAAGAAAGACGTTTCTTTTTATCGATATTCTGAGATGTAACTTTTAATCACAGTGTTTACAGTGAAAATCTCTTAATCCTGGGTATCAATTTAGTCCGTTAAGACAGAAAACATCATTTTTTTGTTCTTGTTAACTTCCAACAGACAGTTAAGGAGAAAATTGTTAACACGTCCGTTATTTCCCAAAGAGCACTGCGCTGCCAGTTCTAATCGTCTTATCGTCTTATCCACAGTGGATCCTCTCTCCAGGCTGCGCTTCACAGGAGAGGGTTTGAAAACCTTTTTTTATTTCTATTTTAATGTGATTAATTCTGGCTTAGAGTGGATAAAAACACTAGAGAAAAATAGATTAGCCCATCGTGTAGTGAAAGAGACTAGGACACTGCTTTTGTTCTACCTTTACTGAAGGGAGGAGACTGAACAACTATTGAACAATCTCTAAACTCTGTATTCTTGCTAAGGTTTTAGAAAAACTGATAAAGTCTCAAGTCAAGAAGTGTTTGGATTTTTTTAACATCTTACATCCCCATAAATTTGGTTTCAAGAAACAATACAGCCTGCTTAGCTGAAAGTTTTTAATGATGTTGAAGCATTGGATGCTAAGGATTATTGTTCTGCACTTTATTTAGACCTGTCTAAAGCTTTTGACACTGTGAATCATAACTTCTTATGTCATAAGCTCTCAGAAATTGGTTTCTCAGACCACACTATTGGTTGGTTCTCTAATTAGCTCTCAGATTGGAGGCAATGTGTTCAACATAATGGTACTTCTTCCAGCTGTCAACAAGGGTGTACCACAAGGCTCAGTCTTAGGACCCACCCTCTTCACAATCTACACAAGTAATGTAGGTCAGATCATTCCTGATGCATCCTTAACCTTATCCTAATGTGTATAAACAAAGGTTGAATGAATTTTGCTCTTTGGTTTTCCACAACATATTCCCAAAAGTATAGGTGTAATAAAACCACACATCCTGTCTGCATAGCTTGTTGATCTTCCACTGAGCTTCTTAGTATTTTTTTTTTCTATAACTGACAGACTTGGTTAATTAATAAATGTTATCAGTTCAAGTTAAACTTGAATTGCTTAGACACCAAAAATTTAATTGGTATTTAGATTTTTATAAATGCTTTTTATGAATTCTTGTCAGCTAAAATCTTTAAAGGTCTATGATAATGGAGGTGTATGTAAGCCAAGCACATATAATTGTTGGATTTCTGTAGTAAATAAAATTGGAGGTAATTTTGTACTTCTTAAAGCCTTTACTTTGGGATATTGGGCTTACTTAATTTTCCCTGTGAACCACGGCTTGTTTTCAGGTAGCTCACAGAACGCCAAAAACAAACAATTAAAAATTCAACAATTTTCTTTTGCAATCCATTAGTGCTCATAAAATGTGTTGTTAATGAACTTCAGCTTTTACCACACCAAATTGTAGCTGAAGATTTGTAAATCTGGCCGACGTATTGCCATTTTTGTGTGAGCTAAGATAAATTAACTAAGGCAGGCATCTTCAGTCAGAATCACCCCAAAAGTTAATTAGTTGTAGATGTGCATCCAATAATTACTTTCTGAGAGGTTCATTAATATCTGTTCAGCAGTTCATGAATTATTTTGCTAACAGACAAACAAAGAAACACACACAGAGACATGGGTAAATCTATGAATGAAATGTTTCCACATCTCTTCACGCTTGTTTCCTGCCTTTGGCACTGCTGCATTTCTCCGCTGCGTTTAAATCAGGAACAGAATAACCATCTTCACATGTTTATGGATGCCTGAAATCAATTTCATGGCAGCTTAGACCACAGTTGTTAACATTTATCCCATAAAACCACAAACATGTGGCTGGAATAAATATATGGGTAATTAGGATCTATTTTCCAGGCCCTAGAATAATCTGTTCAGAGATTGGAACTTGGATAGTGACACATTTGGAGGTGTTAGTGCAGCCGCCAGCAGCAGTGTGATATCTCAGCGCCCCCTGAGCAAACAGTGAGACCCATGAAAGTCAAACTGAAAGTTCATTTTACCGCCCTTCTTGATTCAGAAATATCAATGTGAGTCAGCGAGGAAGAAGATTCTGAGGTGAATGATCCAGGATTGTGTGAGTAATAACTCTTAGCATAACTATTGTTTTAGTGTTGCAGCAGAAGTCAGATTATTTATATCAGAAGTGACTGGTTCTGTGAAAAATAAAAATAAAATAATAAAGAGTTATATATATATATATAAACCACTTACATGAATGAAGGAAGATACAGACGAGTTATATTTTCTCCATGTTGAGTATTGAGTCTGACAAATCACATAAAAGTCATAACATAAAACGAGCATTTGGAGCCTCTCACTGGAGACTGGCTCTACTTTTATTATTCCTTGCTGCTAAAAGCTGTCTGATTGCAAAACATCTCATGAACAGTGAGCTGGGTCTTATTAATATTTTCAAAATGTAATTTTTGCCTGTACATCTGCAACTAATTTAAGTTGGCAACCCATTTTAAGATATTCACTACAGCTACTTGACCTTTGAAAACAATAAAATGGCTGTAACTCAGTCTGTTTACAGATACAGAGCTTAATTTACTGTGATAGAGTCATTCTCAACACTTCAAGAACTAATCTATCTTGTGAGATCTTGCAGCGTTGCATGAGGTTGTGCACATCTTCAACTAACAGGCTTGATTTGACCAAAACAGCTGCAGAATTTGTACTATATATAATATATATTCTGTCATCCTAAAACAATTTTAGTTTAAACTCTGTTATGTAAAGCAGCATGTCATTCTTCAAGGAATGTTGAGTCCTAAAGTTTCAAACTGCCAGGTTCAGCTCCAGTCACATACAATTTGCAGATGACACTACAATGGTTAATCTCATTACTAAAAATGACGATTCACTATATAAAAAAAGAGGTGGAGTAGCTGACTGGGTGGTGTAAAAGTAACATATACCGGTATATAATACCATCCACCCAGAGGTGGAGCAGTGGGCAGCTATTGATGGCGCCCGGGGAGCTGTACCAGTAGCGCGGAGATATTTTAAATTCTGTGTCTTCTACAACTCTTGCAGCTACCGCTAAAAACAAACAAGAGCAAGAGGCAACCGGAAGTGATCCACGTGTCTAAAATTTAAACAGAAGTATGTCACCACTACCTGTGGCATATAGGCTATTGTGGATAGGGTGTCCTGCTCAGAGACACCACGAAATGTGCAATAACTGAGGATCGAACCTTTCGGGTCCTGGGTGAATACTTGATAAACTGAACATGTGGAGATTGTCTCATTTCTGTGTATGCTCAAATGATTGTAGCTGGCTGACTGTGCAGATCTTTATCTTTCTATATTGAAACTGTATTGAAACTCTGGCACAACCATTTCCTCAGGGATCAATAAAGTTCCATCTTATCTTGTTTTTTCTCATCTTTTGGCTTTTCAGGATGTAAAACAGAGTGGGACGAGATCGGATGCTGGCTGAAGGCTGAAGTTGGGCAAGTGGTGAACTTATCCTGCTCTGAGGTCTTCCAGCATTTCTCCAGCAACCAGGGTAGGTTCCTGTGACAGCTTCCACCTCATCAAAGTCAACAAAACCCAATAATCAAACCAGTACATTAATTAAAATTCATAGGATACTGTTTGGAATCTGTTCTCCGTCCCTGCGCTGTGCCTGCGCTTTATTATCTGTAAAACGTATAATTGGAGCACTAATGCAGAGTGATGGTACTGAAGGAGATTCACTGAATGAATTATTCATGGGTGTTTGTTGGTAAGAACATAGACATGCCCTGGGATGTTTCTGCCAGGAGAACTCCACTTGTAAATTGTCTTTGGGGTTTCATGATCTGACACTGTCTGACTTCTTGTCTCCAGAAAGAAACTGTAGATGACATCATTATAAATTCAGAGCTTACGCAGGTTCATGCGTGGTAGATTTTCTTCTGCACTATTTGCATCTTAACCTCGTTTCTTTGTTTAAATTCATCGTCATGCAAAATTTAAATTTCTGTCTAAGTAAAGAGACCATAAAGACGCATTTCTCAAACCTATCATAAAAATATGGATCTCTTCACTGCTGTATTGTCGTCATTCTAAGATAATTGCACGAGTTAAGGTCAGGATCGTTAGGAAGTGATGTTCTTTTCTCTGAGATAAAACCTGTGCATCGCATTGAATTGCAGATGTGATGTTCTCAGTATTTGGACTCCAGCTGCTTCTTGTTTGCCTAAAAAGAATGACGAAAGATCCCTCCTGCCACGCTGTTTTCTTTGTCTTCCTTCGAGCAGCCCAGCTAACGCCTGTGCTTGCTATCTGCAGCACACACACTTTGATAACCAGTCGCCAAGCTTTGCAGGGACAGATCCAGCTGACAACCTTCCCCTGATGCCTTCCGTCTCCAAATGGACGCTAAGCCGACGTCAGTGGACTTGAACAGACATGAAAGCATCAAATGTTCTCTGACAGACAGCACTAATGGACTACACTGGTCCAGAAGCAGAAATGTCACAAAGCAGCAGTCCAAAGACATCATGTTCACAGAGTGCACAGGGATGCTAATTTTCTTTACTGCAGTCACTGCATGGAAATTCAGGCACAGGATTTCTGATGGAACTCTACTAACATCAGATAAAGCAGGTACGCACTCTGTCAAAAAATCTAGACAGTTTAAAAGCAAAAAAATTTAACAATTTGGACGTAAACTCTTTCATTTGCGTATATACATGTACATGCATTTCAGGCTTTCAACATACCTTATTTTTCACCATAAAAGTTGCACCTTTTTACATAAATTTGCAAGTCCCGTGACTTATGCACCGAAACGACTAATATCCTTTGTTTCCCCCATATTTATAACACAATTTTTGGCTGAGATCTGACGATTTCTTTCATTCTGACATGAAAAATATTAAACATTACCATTTGCAGCTGCTAGAGGGTCCTGTGAGCAATATGGCAAGCAAAGTTTCTCATTAATAGGTAAAAGTGGCTATTAATGAGACACTTGGCTTGCTGTAGAAGCCATCTTTGTCTCATTCCGCAACTCCTGGAGCAAACGCCAAATTAGCTGCATTTTGCAGCGCCGCCCAGGCGAAATGCAGCAGATTTCACTGTTAAAGTGCATTTATTAAGGAAAAGTTCAACTTAGACACACCTTTACTATAATGCTGAGCAAACAAATAATTGTTTTTAAGTGTTAATCTTGTTACATTCTTGTTAAAGTCCTTCCATGCACACTCCCGTAGCTGCCATTTGGCAGCCAATTGATTTTTGGCACACCAGCCCACATTTCCGGGTGGTCGGCGGTGACGCATAACAAACACAACGCGTCAGTGGTGATGCATAATTGATTAAACTTTTACGGCAAAGTGACTTATTTATGTTTTTTTCCACTTTATCAGACATATTTGGACTGATGTGACTTAAACGGCAGCGTGACGTGTACAGTGGAAAGTACTTTATTTTAATAAATGGAAATAAACATTGTTTTCTTTGTAATTTACAACATATTCCTTCTACAAACACTTGAAGAATGTTCTAGCTTTGAGAATAACAAGTAATGGAACCAGTGCTTAGTTCAATCTTTTCAGTATAAAGCTCAGCTGTTCAACAGCACACCATCGATTTGGTGCAGATTTAAAATGTTTTTGCAGTGTTGCAAAAACTCCTCACAATCATCTTGAAAACAACATCTGCTGCTGTAATATAGAGCATCAATATTGTGATCGTAGACGTATTATTTACCTCTCAAATCACATCCCTTGATTTAAAAAAAAATTGTTGCTTGTGATTTATCGAAACTCTTCATTTGCCTTTTGGATGAACGCACACAGTGACTCACTGACTCCAAACTGATCTGGATTATTTATTCACCTGACCACAACAGGCATTTGGATTGTCAATATAAAGTGTTTAAAAATGCACAAACTTTTTCAAGAGGAACAAACGTTTTCCAGGCCACCAACAGAGTAATCCAGATTGTGAGGAATGGTGGTGGGAGTATCATCGCTACTGTACACTAAAACGATCTCTGAAAACTAAGAATTATTTAGTTCAGCAATGAGACAGTAACTAAAATTAGGTAATTTAACCAAAACACATATTCTTCTATTTCTTTTATTGATTGTTCCCTCTGCAGGGGTCACTGCATCTAGTCATCCTCATTTGTTCAGCCGATCCTCTGCATCCTCTGTCAAAATCATTCGTTATCTAATCAAAATGTTTAAAAATGATTAAAAGGGTGGCTCTCAATATCTTGTCGACCAAGTTAGTAAAGAAGCTGTTTGCATCAACACCAAAGTCCATGCTCAATAATCCAGGTATAAAATCCACCAATTTTCAGTCAGGTCCTCTGGACGGTTTCAATGAAGCAACCAATTAGTGTTTATAACATTCACGTTCAACTCTACATCCTGCACTATCATGTTATGTTTAATGAAAACATCAACGGTTCTACTTGTTTAGTCACCTTATGTGTTTCTGCATTTGTGTGACAAAAATCAACAAAATTTAAGAATAATTCATTCATAAATTTTGTTCCAAAGCTTCTGAACAAGTTTAAATGACATCATTAGTGGTTAGATAAACACATTTGCGCCTCTTCCTCTGTTTTCCTGTCAGGGTATGTATACAGAAACTGCACAGACGACGGCTGGTCTGAGATGTATCCACCCTATGAGGAGGCCTGTCTTTTCAGTGACGACAGCGAGCCTGAATCTGAGGTGCACACACGTTTTATTACAGTTCAGTTCAGTTCATTTATATTGTGCCAAGTCACAACAGAATTTGTCTCAGGGCACTGTACAAAAACATTCACATACATAAAAAAGCCAATTAGTAAAAGTTTATCTAAGGAAGCCAGCGGATTGCGTTGAATCTTCCCCGACAGGAAGGAGGAACGGATACACAATGGCAGGTCCAGTTGTACTTTCTATTGGAAGAAAGAAAAAAAAACACACGTCAGGATAGAAATACAAATACAAACAGGTAGAGTAGAGCAAGTAAAGACTGAAGCAGAGTGAGGAAATGTGGTCAATTTGCCCTCCAGCTGTCTAAGCCTATAGCAGCATAACTAAGGGATAGCTCAGGAAACCCAAGTCTACCCTAGCACAAAGGAAAGACTTGAGTCTAATCTTAGAAGTAGACAATGTGTTAGTCTCACAGACAGAAACTGCAAGTTGGTTCCACAAGAGAGGAGCCTGATAACTGAATGCTCTTCCTCCCATTCTACTTGTGGAAATTCTAGGAACCACAAGTAAACCTGCAGTCTGAAAAAGGGTTGTAAGCTCAATCATCCAAGTAGATAACAACAAAAAAGATTAAATCTTGTCATCTGGACCAGTTTCTTTAAGTGTTTTATCCCTCTTCCAGAGGCCTTCCTCAGTTTACAGCCTGCCAACCAGATCTGTCCCAGGACGGATCTGGAAGGCTACCTATGGGACAGATCTGGTTAGTAAGCCGTAGACTGAGGAAGTCCTCTGGATCTCACTTGAAGAAACTGGCCCAGATGACACAATTTAACCTTTTTTGCTGCAGTCTGAATGGAAAGCGCTCTGTTAGGAATGTAATGAACAATAAGATCTGTAATACAAGTTGGAGCTAGGTTGTTGAGAGCTTTGTATGTTAAAAGTAAGATTTTGAATTCTATTCTGGATTTGACAGGGAGCCAATGGAGAGAAGGTAAAACTGGAGAGATATTGTCTCTCCTATCAACTCTCATTAAAATGCTATAATCATGCTAATCAATTAAATTTTAGGATGGCACGTTTATTCCAAGCATAAATGTTGACAGTTAAGTGAAGTGTGCAGTCGGATTTAAATAAAACATTACAATACCAGTATATGCTTTAGAGAGACTGTATTAACCTAAATTAGTTTTCCTTGTTTCTGTGTTTGTTTGCAACTCCTTGTTTCCAGACAAGTTACCTCTACACGTTCAGACAGGTTTACACTGTAGGATATGCCACCTCACTCATCTCCCTCATCACAGCCATCGTGGTGTTTGCAGCCTTCAGGTAAGACCACCACAGCACTCGTCACATAGATGTTCTCAGATGCATGGCAAGATGAAGTAAAACTCTATGGTTCTTATGGGCTTGGAGAATCTCAAGCACAAAGAACTGTGACTTGCTTTATGTATTCCAAGTGATGTAGTTATCTTCTACCACTCACCATGCTATAAAGTTGAATTTGCATGCACAGTCTAATAAAGCGTTTGGAGCATGACTCTGTTATTTTACAGGAAGTTCCACTGCACCAGAAACTACATCCACATCAACCTTTTCTCCTCATTTGTCCTGAGAGCCAGTGCCGTCTTTGTGAAAGACACAGTGCTGTTTGCAGATGAAACCTTGGACCACTGCTCTGTCTCAACAGTAAGTCTGATCATTTCCTTTAATTATTTCTTTCATGATGAAAGCGCATTAACAGAGGAAGGAAATGTAAAATTTGGGTATTATTTAAAGCATACCTAATAAATAAAAAGTAGTCTATTTCAACTAAGAATTAGTTCGGATATTGTGAGTGATTAAGATAATTTTATTTGGGTGTGCAAGTAATGAAAATATCAAGAAAGCATACTGTAATTCTTAGTTCTTGTCTTGTTGTAGTACTTAATTTTACCGTACTTTCTGCCATACCTGTTGCACCGCCATACATGTCGCACTGTTGTGTATTTTGCACCGCCGTATAAGTTGCATCAGTCCAAAAATGTCTAAAAAAGTAGAAAAAAAACATAAATAAGTTCCTTTGCCATATAGGTCGCATCTATTATGCATCACCGCTGACCACCTGGAAATGCGGGCCGGTGTTGTGCCAAAAATCGATTGGCTGCCAAATGGCAGCTGCGGGAGTGTGCACGGGAGGATAACAAGAATTTAACAAGATTAACACTTAAAAACAATTATTTGTTTGCTCAACATTATAGTAAAGGTGTGTCTCAGTTTAACGTTTGCATAATAAATGCACTATATTGGTCAAATCAGCTGCATTTTGCCTGGGCAGCACAGCGAATTTCAGCTGATTTGATGTTTGCTCCAGGAGTTGTATGGCAAGCCAAGTGTCTCATTAATAGCCACTTTTACCTAGTAATGAGACATTTGGCTTGCCATATTGCTCGAGAGCCCTCTAGCCGCTGCAAATGGTAAGGTTTAATATTTTTCATGTCTGAATGAATAAAATCGTCAGATCTCAGCCAAAATTTGTTATAAATATGGTGGGGGAAAGTATATTAGTTGCTTTGGTGTATAAGTTGCAGGACTAGCAAATTTATGCAAAAAGATGTGACTTATACAGCGAAAAATACGGTAATATTTATTTTGAGTCACAGTAAAAAGAGTTAGCCAACCTAATGTAGATTTCCCTTACCATTCTATTATTTGGTGATTGGGTCTTAAATATAGACACTTACTGGTATGTAAAAAAACTTTAACAGAAGATTTAAGAGCTAGTTTAATCTCCCATTCTTTCTAGTACTGACAGATTAACTTGTGATTCGTTGTGCTGATTTTTCCTCTTCAGGCCGCCTGTAAGTCAGCTGTGGCTTTCTTCCAGTTCAGCATCTTGGCCAATTATTTCTGGTTACTGGTGGAGGGCATGTATCTGCAGACCCTGCTGGCCCTCACTTTTGTCTTGCAGAGGAAATACTTCTGGTGGTACATTTTGATTGGATGGGGTGAGTGAGTATAACTGAGGAGATCATCCATAGATGGCAAGCATCACAGGCTGATGGCTGCATGCACTTTACAGCATACACTCAGATTTTTTTGTAGCATCGCACCGTAACACTATACTGGATGTAGTTCTCCGGTAGAGCCACAGGCTGAGTTACACTGTTGATTACATTTGAGGAATTAATTTCCACATAAGCTAAAAGTAAAGTATTTTATAATAAATAACTTTGGACATCATATGCAGGGGCACCCCTGAGGAGAAGGGAGTGGGGGACATAAAAATAATGTCTTTCTGCAGGTAATTGATTGTAGCAAACACTCACAAAAAAGGTTCCAACTCAGTCAGTTTCACAGATATTGAGCTTAAATTGGATGTGAGTTGAAAATAATTGGAGTTGAGAGTCATACACCAAACGCTAACTTTGAAATTCACCATAGCAGACAATATACATCCTCTCAATTTGTGCTAGTTTCAATTATAAATATGAAGAGGAGAGATGTGAGGACAAGCTTCAATGAGCTGAGCGGCCTCAGGTAGTAAGAAACGAGTGAAGTAAAACAAGTCTTTATCAGAAGCTGATCATCAAGCTCCTTTACGGCAGTTTTTATTTAAATAATGTCTGACGACAGCATGATAAAACTCTTGGAATTCTTTTATGGCTTTTGATTTTCTTGTGCATTTGAATAAAACTATGACGTACGTTTATGCTCATTTCTAACATGAAGATTGAATTTTCTCTTGAAGTTGTTTTTGAGTGTGCTCAGTGCTAAAATACAGACAGATGAACTTTCTGTTTTATTTGTTCCGTTTATTAACACCAGTTTGCTTTGTGGCAGCCCTCTCATCATGATAAATATACTTTTTGCAAGAGTCAGGAAACATTCTACACATTGTAGGGATTCAGACTAGAGATGCACAATATTGCATTTTTGGCCGATATCCGATATGCCGATATGTTAAAACTTATTTGGCCGATAACTGATACAAATAGCGATATATTTTTTTCCTAGATCTACTTACAGAGATTACATAGCATTCTCTGCTGTGGAATTGAAAACTATATTATTCTGCATGATCTTTGTCAGTTTGGCCTGCTAGCAAATGCAGATGCCAAATGGGGGCTGAAAATGATGCAACACTTCAACTTGGATTATGTTTAATGTCAAATATATTCATGGTGTTTACTCTTTCTAACACAACGACAACACTCTAACAGAGCAAATTTGTAAATTTTCACAAATCTAAACTCAATGGCAAGCGTGATGTTATAACGTGCTGGCGCTTTAGGCATCCTTGTCTTTGGGTTGTCATACAAAAACAGCGCCCCCCCCCCC